AACCGGCACCATATTCATTGAGAGCACTATCCTCATGGAGATGAACTTCACTGACAGCGGCAGTCAAGTCATGATAATTCGTGAGCAACTAGAGTAGGGCAACGCTTAGGACGTTCACTGTTCGAATTATCAAAATGGTTCTGATGTTCCAGCACGTGAATTTTCATGCATGTCTAATAGTCAGAAAATACCCCATCCTTTCTCTAAAACCTCTTTTTCATTCTTTATTACTATAAGGAAAGATAAAGTGAAAGATTAATGTGATTGATTAAAATAATTATTGGACATCTACACAGACCATCGTTTGCCGAAACAATTAATGACTAATCGCTTGAGGCACTACGAGAAGTTAAACTTATTGGGAGAACTAGCTTCATATACAGTTCGAAACATTCTGTATGTATTTTAATTTCATCGATGGTAGAAACTGTCCTTTTTCTTCTTTCATCTTTCATTAATCTTCTTATTGAGAATTACCTTTGACCAAACCTTTGCAACTGAATGAATATATGCATCACCATGATATTATTAAACAAATGGAAATCACAGCAGAATAAGACATTGTTATTATTTAACTTTGATATCATGTATCAGAGCAGATGATATGATATCATCAAGAATTCAAATTCCACATTTCCGGAATTTGAACATTATGGATAGAAAAACAGAAGTTACGCACAAACTGTGATCCCTTTACCAACTGAATTCATATTTATCAATCTGTTTTAACTTGTAACAGAATTTACACTAAACGAAATAGGTATTATAAATTGGCGCACTATTATCGATGGGCCTTCTAATGAACGATGGATCACCAAAATGGCATCCTTCATCATCATGTGTCCTTCGAATTGTCTCTAAAGCCGCTTTCTATTGTAAGGTTAGACTATTCTTGAACTGTCATTAATTTCCCCATTCATTTAATAGACTGCAGATCGATATATGAATTTCGGAAAAGCAACTAAATCCTCTTGCTCTTTTATCACCGAGGATAACTGGTACTAGCGAAAATTGAGGACAAAGTTCAAAGTGCAATAGTGGGAATTTCTGAATCCTTTCATTGATCAGAGTTGTGGTACTCTTCCCACAACATTAAAGCGCTACAAGTTTCGATAAGGTTTCGCACTGCTTAAACAGCATCCAATTGGAACCATGTCAAAAAAGCAAGAGACTTTTCTTAATTGACGTAGCGCTCTCGATAAAATCTAGTTAGATCAGTGATTTCGCTTTCAATACTGAAAACATCGGCAGCATGAGAAACCAATCTATCCTTCAAAACCTATTAACCAGAAAGAGAATGTCATCGAACATTGCTGCTACATACAAGAAACATTGGGAGATTATGCAAATTCAGAATAAAGGAATATCATTAGCAAAACTCGTCATCGATTATAAGACGCAATTTCCCGGTGTTAGTACATGTTTGGTTGGAATAAATTGATCATCTTTGGTAATGCTTGCAAATAGCATGTTGCGATAGCTTGACGAGTGATGAGGAACGAGTTCGGAATCAAATTCTTCAAAGGTGAGCTTTTCTCTAATAACGACGCAACTGTAAAGCAAAAGAGTTTCTCTTAATAAGAAGTTATGTTACGGAATTCATTCTACAATTACATTAATAACTTTTAATTGCAAATCCTCTGCTTAACATTATAAATGTATCAATCCTTCCTCGTGTCGTGGAAGAAATAATAAGATGTAGATAATGCTCGGTGTTTTGATCATTCAAACTCTGCTTAATTCATTTTGCTTCAAGATACTTTGACAAACTAAACAGTGCTAATTGGAAAAGCACAGATTTACATGCGTACTGAAAACACGCAAATGGAGCATGCAACCTAGAGCAAAACTTACAAAAAGCATAGCCGTTTACAATTAGCGAAACAACAATGCAAATACACTATTCACATGTGAGACTCGCACTTGAAAATCAAATAATTTTTCTTCCCAAAAGTTCAAGGAAACTTTGGAAAAGTCTAGAACACCAGCAATTACGCTCCCCTGTCCTGGGCGTATCAATCAAAAACAAGGACAAATAACAGTCGACAATGCACTACCGCTCTGAATTGCAAAGATGAAAAATCACTATTCTGATTGATAATTGCAAAACAAAGGCGATATGAGCGGGAATGCTCATGAGAATATTGTTGATATTTTGTCATTCCACAAAGATTAAATGGTTACAAGGTCACTGCTTTTCTATTACACGCATATAGCTGATTCATCTTCCGAATACGCTTTTACTATGCTTTGCTCCCGTTATTACTTCCCGATCATAATAATAGGATTGATTTAAGGATAACAAACGATGAGATTTTAGAAGACAATACCTTTCTCAAAAACATATCCAGTGTTTTGTACAAAATAACTATAAAGAATGGTAAGGATTTTATAAATTTCCCAAAAACTACAATGAACGTAGGGATTTTAATTTCCTAAGAAAAAAGAAAACTAACCTGACAATGAAATATGGATATCTATATTTCATCGTCAAGTTCTAGAAATTATAAATAACACTATTTCAAGAACATAAAACATGGAAAAATTTGACTGAAGTCGTCGCCAAATATTTCATATCCATGTATATTATGTTGTGAGCTATCGATCTGCGCCTGCAATTAGGGAATTCCATGAAGTGAAAGCTGAAAATTTTTCTAGCTGTGTTCTCAAATTTTTTCCATTTAGCACTTTTTTCAAATTTTTTCTCCTAACATATACCATTGACTGAGACTGAGTAAATTTTAATCTAATTGACTGAGATTGAGTAAATTGAGCATGACTGAGGTTGAGTAAATTGAGCATGACTGAAATTGAGTAAATTTTAACCTAATTTGAGATGCAAGTATCTCACACCACACCATAAATGACTTCAACAGTAGCAGAAAGGTGTTCTATAATAATAAAGGTACGGTAAGGTACACGCAAAGAAACCCATAGTTAAAATGTCAACCCACATGAGTCAAACGAGCAAACGTCTACAACAACAGAGATGAATGCTCTATAACAAGAGAGCATTTCATGGAAATTCTCGTGCATTTACACTTTTCCTTCTATCATTAAAAAAAATTAAACATACCTAAGGAAGATGAAGTTTTGAACTGCTTGAGTCCGGGTGAAGTTGAATAAACGGTTAAAAATTCATTAGCAATTTTGAGAGAAGGGTTCCTTTCTTCCACAGTATTCAAAACTTCGGCATCTGATGCAAATTTTCAAGAATG